TTTTTTTATCAAACTATAGAAGCATCGAACCCGCAGCTGAGTGGGTCGTGTTTCTATGTTGGTAGTTACCTGGAAACTTTTTCTTAACAATATAATTTTTACTTCAGAATGTGCACAGAAATATGAGCATTCAATTAATTACAAAGAGGCTGAGCAACGAATTGGAGATTGGTTAAGAAGGGCAAAAGAAAGAAGGTTAAGAGGAGAAATAAAAAAAATTGAATTAAATGTTTAATTTTAGCTATAGGTATATAATATTATTATGTATGTATATGTATGTTTTTTTCATTATACTTTTAGAATTTTATGTAGCTGGGGTATTTGGTTCCTTAAAGGTCTTTGGGGTGCTTATTTGTTTCCTTTTATATTATTTATTTATATTATTTTATATTTACTGAGTATTTACAGTATTTCAGTTTTTTACTTTAAATTAAATATGTTTTAAGTATTTAAACATTATTACAGTTAAGTATTTGTTAAGAAATAACATGCTGCAAGCTTTAAGTAGTAATGGTATTGGTGCCTGTTTGTCTGCATAAACTGTGTCCTTTCAAAATAAAACTTATTTTGAAAATTTTCGATTTATTTCAAACCTTTCTAAAAGTCATTTAGGAATATAAAATATAACATACTAAAAACGACCTAAGGATGTTCCCAGAATGTATGAGGTTCATCCCAAGTTATCCTAGAAACATCCTGATGGGATGGACATGGAGTCTAAGAGACTCCCCTTCAACTTTAAAACACATGTGTTGGGTTATATATATATATATATATATATATTTACATACACATTTTGGAAACTAATATTGGTAGAGAGTCTTAATAGCATCTAGGATTAAAGGTACCTGCAGGTATGGAGGATGAAACAGATTTAGCGCGAACTTTTAAATATGCACTGATTGCAAAGTGCTTAGGAGTCTGGTATACTTAAGGTACTCCAGGTCACCAATTAGGGGTTAAAATACTTTCATGCTCCCTATTGAAAATGCCATATAGAACCATATAAAAACACGTATCTGGATTCTATATGGTTTCTATCTGAACCATGGTTCAATATATGTATTTGAAACAGGCATTTCACTATAGAACCAGATAGAAGTTTACATTATAGAACCGGATAAAAACACTCTAAAACACTATAGAACCAGGTAGGGAAACCTATCTGGAAATACATATAGAACAGAAACCAGATAAATCCATATACATCCATATACATGTCTTTATAAAGACATGTATATGGTTGTATATGGATTTATCTGGTTTCTGTTCTATATATGTATTTCCAGATAGGTTTCCCTATATGGTTGAATATGAAAATTTTTAAAATGGAAATCCATATTTAACCATATAGAATCCTTAATGTAAACCAGGACTTTCCATATAGGACCTATAAAACCATATAGAACCAGATACGTATCGTACGTTTCCTTATCGGATTCAATATGGGTTCTATATGGCATTTTCAATAGGGCTGTTCTTTAATGACAAATATCTAATTGAGTTGCGTCTAGAAACGGGTTAAACAGGTAAACAATTATTTCATAGCTATAGCTAGATAAACTATTTAATTAAAAAAAAAAATCCCAGATCGCCAATGAAATAGGATTATTTCTGATTTACATAAGTAAGGGAACATTTTTATAATGAATAAACAGGATTGTTGTGGGAAAATTTATATTTCTATTGTAAATTATAATAGTTCCACACTGTAAGCAGATAACATCAAATAATAAATAAAATAAAAAGTTTTGAAATTAAACATTTAAAATACCTACTTATACCCAGGTAACATTACGTGACTATCAATTTTTGGTTGATGACGATAACGTGACGACATGGCTTTATAACGTTTTATCGACATAAACTTGCTGTAAAATTTAAGCCTGAATTTTTAAATCTCTCAATATAGTTATATACTTTCCTTAAATTTTAAACAAGTGTTTTTCGATAAGACTTTTGTAACATACGTGACGAAATTTAAGTTTTATTTAATGAAAAGTATAATAAAGGCTTCGTGACGTTTTGGCGTATTTTTAAGTGAATCTTACGTGATGTTTATGCAACTACAATACAACTAAAAAAATATAGACATTCCTTTACATTGTTGTACGATTTGTTGGTAAAAAAATATAATTAAATTTTAACTAAATAACTTATCTGCATATATAAATCAATACAATTAAAAAAAAACAAAACGAATAAATCATATTTTATTTAAAAATTATTTGAACTTATTTTTTTCAAGTGGTAAATACTAGACATGAAAAGGAAATATGACAACACCGCTCCCAGGGCACAGCCTTCAGAAGTTTGACTGCGCAGATAAAGAAGGCTGTCTTCTTTATCTACGCAGTCAAACTTCTTTGCTCAGTGTTTGGGTGTGGTTCTGTGTTGTAGACGTTACAAAATCTTTGCACATCACAAAAACAGATAAATTTATGCTTGTTATATGGATAAATTTTAACCATATAGCTTCGAAAACATTCATTTTATCTAATCTATGATTCAGAAAGTGTGAGCAATTTATTGGATAGCTCGACGGTTTTGTACAAGTACCTACTAAGGAAGTTTCCTTTGTTTGGCGCTTGCCGGTAGTTTTTGCGTTGTTTACTACACGTGGTTCAACGATAGCCGCTGTGGATATAACCTTAAAAGGTAAGATTTTTATTTATTAATTTTTATTATGTTGTTTTTGTTTCCGCTATTTTTAGAATCGTTTAAGAAAATGTCTAAACGACAATTATCAAAACGGAGACAATATGAATTAACCTATCAAGCAAGTAAAATATTTTTAAACGAATTAAAAAGTGATCAGAATTTACAAGAACCGAGTCCTAAACCAAAACAAGTTGTGTCTACTGAAGAAAATACGATAAATGACTATAGTAATTTATTTTCTGATAATGATGATAGTAAAAATGAAGTAATCAATATTGATACCAGTAATAATTGTATAGATTTAGAGCTAAATTCTGAAAGTAATAGCAATGACGATGTAATTTTTGATAAAACTTTTAAAGAACAACTTACTGCATGGGCTATTAAAAATCAAGTTAGACATAACCATTTAAATGAACTTCTAACAATATTAATTAAAAATGGACACAGTGAATTACCAAGAGATTCTAGAACCCTATTGTCGACCCCAAATAAACTTACACTAACAAGTTTAGGGGATGGCAAATTTATGCACTTTGGATTAGAATCTGGTCTTATTCAACAGCTACAACGTTATCCACCCACATCTAATCATGTCATTAAGTTAAACTTTAATATAGATGGGTTGCCAATAGCTAGTGATAGCAATAAAAGCTTTTGGCCAATTTTGTGTCAAATAGTCGAAGTTGCCAATAAAAGGAAACCCTTTATAGTAAGCTTGTATGAAGGCCTAAGTAAACCAGTGTCAATGAATGAATTTCTGAGACCTTTTGTAACAGAGCTGCAGAGTATTATTGAAAACAATGTATTAATAAATGAAACCGAATACACAATAACAATAAATGCATTCATATGTGATGCTCCTGCTAGAGCTGCAATTACAGCAGTTCAGTCTCACACTGGTTACCACAGTTGTCATAAATGCACTGTTAAAGGTAGTTATGAAAATACTGTAATTTTTTCTGAAACCAGTTGTTCATTACGCACTGATAATTCGTTTAGACAACGATTACATCCAGACCACCACAAACCTGAAAAATCCATTTTGGAAAATTTACCAATTGATATGGTAGCTAACTTTACCTTGGACTACATGCATCTTGTATGCTTGGGAGTAACAAAGAAAATAATTGAAATTTGGCATGGTAAACCGGGCAAAGGAAAGCTAAGTTACAGGGATTTAGAAAGTATATCCAATAATTTAGAAAAGTGTTTCAACTCCATGCCAATAGAATTTAATAGAAAATCTCGTGGTCTAAAACATTTTCGGAAGTGGAAAGCGACGGAGTTTAGGAACTTTCTTTTATATACTGGCCCTGTCTGTTTAAAGGGTATTTTAAATGAGAACTACTATAAACACTTTATGTCATTAAGTTTGGCCATTTATATTCTTGTGTCCCCAAAATATTGTCAAGTGTACAACGCATATGCAGGGCAGCTACTTCTTTATTTCGTTGAAAACTTTTCTGCACTATATGGAATTCGTAACATGACCTACAATGTTCATAACTTGATTCATATTCAAAAGGATGTTGAACGGTGTGGAGATTTAAATTCATTCAGTGCTTTTCCTTTTGAAAACTATTTGGGTTATATCAAACATCTTTTAAGAACTGCTCCCAATTCTATACAACAAATATATAACAGAATCCATGAAATAAATGCTGCAAATTTGGACGATGTGAAAATACAAAGAAATAAAAACCATATTTACTTGGCTGATTTTTCTTTATCATTAAAGAAAGGAAATAATTATGCCCAACTTAAAGATAATACAATCATTAAAATAAGAAGTTTTGACTTAAAAAGCAAACAATTTACGGGTTTTCCCATGGTACATTTGGAGAGTTTTTTTAGGAGACCATTCGATTCTACAAAATTTTTTATTGGATTACCAACATTCACTAATAATGAGGGGACTTACAAATTTAATGATGTTGTTTCAAAAATGGTTGTTTTACCATATGGAAATAATTTCGTTATTATACCGCTAAATCACACTGTTCAATAAAAAATGTAAGAACTAGTTTATTCTTAGAAATACGAAAATAGGAATGCACTACGATAGCGTTTAAATACAGAGTGATCCAAAATTCAAAGTACATATTTTAAGAGCGTATAATTGAGGTCAAAATAATAATATTTTTCTTATAAACTTGTGTCCTAAAATTAAAAAAAAAAATCATATTTTGACCACAAAAATACACTCTTAAAATATGTACATGGAATTTTAAATCACCCTGTATAGTCATATTATTTTAAATTGATTGATGAATGTTTTTTTTTTAATTTACTGTGTAATAAACCGACCTATATTCGCTTACAGATAACGCACTATAATGTTCAAAGTCATTGAATTTGAGACGGGGGAGCTGGAGGTGGTACCGACTTCATGGGTTAAAGGTGATCAGGTAAAAAAACTGTTCATATATATGCTGGACCAGCACTGCTGGTTAATAAACACATTATTTACTTACCATCACTATTTTTAGGTTTACTGGTGTAAGACGGCCAGGGCTTATGCCAAAAAAAATTTTGATCCTAAACCTTCATGGAAAATCTACAAATGTAAAACTCGATATAAAAACAACACCTTTGGTAAGACCCTTTTTAAACTTATATAATTTATTAAATTTTTTTTATATACTAGGTAGGTATATCCATATAATACACTTTTTTTCAGCTACTTATGAAGAGGCTTCCAAAAAATGCAATGTACTACTTTACAAAACTGACTCTTCTGAAACAAGTAGTGATGATTGTCGTAAAAAGAAGAACACTCAAGATTCAGACTATGAGTACTATAAAGATATAGATATTGATATTGATGATTTGCCAAGTTTATCGCCCTTAAGTGCAGCAGATAAAACCCTTACCCCGGAAAAACTGGTTGAAAAAGAGAAGAGTGCAGCAGATAAAATCCTCACTTCAGGAAAACCGGTTGAAAAAGAGAAGATTCAGTCAATTGCTAATGCCCAACCAACTAACAATGTTCAAACAGCGGTCGATGTTGAATCAACAGGTTTTGACAATAGCGATATCATCAATATGGCTAATATCACGTTTGAACCATTATGTAAATGTGAAGGTATAAAGGTTTTTTTTCCTTTATGGTTCCTTGGTAGTAAATTTTACTTCTCTCTTCTTCCCATTGAAGTCTAATCTAAATTAGATTAGATTATGTAATCTTAAATTTCGTTTACGGTTTTTTATTTCATTTTGTAGCAAATTTTTCTCAGGCTATTTATGTAACTATCGCATTAAAAAAAACATTGTTATGCTTAAAAATATTATAAAAAATATTGGTTATTTTTATGCACATATTTTTATTGTAACGGTTTTCCTCTTTTCAATGTAAAAGAAAGTTTTGCTAAAAAATTAAAACAACATATAGGATTAGAGATTGGACTTCAATTAGAGAAAGAAAATTTACTAAATAGGAACCTTAATGAGGATTCACTGATTAAAACTTCAATTTTAGAAGTGAAAACACTGATTAGTTCAGAATTGAACAAATTTAGATCGGAACTTAAAATTTTGAATGATGCTGTCAACCAAAATACGAAATTAATTGGTATGTAAAAAAATGTATTTTTTAAATATTTTTATTTTCTTAAAAGTTTTCATTAGTATGAAAATACCCAATTTATTTATTATTTTTATTGTATTAAATGTCTTTTTTGGAAATTAACAGCGGTTTTTATTAGGAAGAAACTTACAGTTATTTGTTTAAATTTCAGAGCGATTCATAATTCAAAGTAAACGGGAGTGGGAAACGGTTAAGATGTGTCTTCAACATATTAATTTGGAGAAACCACATTTAACAGTTAATCCGGAATCAGAGCAGTTGTTACAAGAATTAATTCCAGTGTCTTCTCTAGATGATCTAAAAATTTTGGAAGAAGTGCTAGAAGAAGAGGACAAAAAATCTTATTTGGTAAGATAAAATTAATATGTACTGGATGTTATATTTCAACAAGTTTTTTTGTAGATTTACAAATTAAAGCGAATTGGAGGTAAAGATGCTAAAACCACGCTTTCCAATATAATAAAATATTGTTTTACAATTGAAGCACAAAAAAAGTGTAATTGGATTGGTGCTAACAACAAGTTTAGTATTAAAAAAACTCATTTAGTTAGCGCTATTGTTCAGGTACTTCTGGAAACCCAGAATAATATTACACAAAGCGAAATTGAACAACAAATTAAATATATATTTCAACACACTTACGACCGAGCTAAATCAGGACAGGTAAATCTATATATATATTGATTAATATCCCCCGCCAATGACTGTCATGCCCAAATGATTTTTTCGCGTAGGTACCTGGTTACCAGGTACGCGACAATAGCTATTTGTGTATTAAGAGCGCAAAGTGATATATTGTCGCTATCTCGCGAGATCGGCAATGTCACTTTGCGCTCGAATTACACAGGATTTTTTCTACAACCGGTGTTTTTATACAAATTTTTAGTAACAATTAATAATTATTGGTAATCTCACAATCCACACAACAAGGTCTATTCGATCTCGTAGTAAAAATACTAAAAATCACTGCAACACTGCACATCATACGATGGCGGACATTTTTGTTGTTTACAATTCTTGTGCTTTGGGTTTGTACAGATTAATAATCGTTTTAAATGTTGAGACCTCAAAGTGGTGAAACAATCATTTTACTCCTCTTTTGTAAAAAATAAACCTTATTCTATCAAATGTCAATTTGAAGGTTAATTTGTGGGTTATAAATTAACCTTCAAATTGACATTTGACAGCCCTGTTAGAATAAGGTTTATTTTTTACAAAAGAGGAGTAAAATGATTGTTCTTACCACTTTGAGGTCTCTTTTAAGGCTTGCAAGTCTCTCTGTAAGAAACACAACGTTTAAAACGATTAATCTGTACAAACCCAAAGCACAAGAATTGTAAACAACAAAAATGTCTGCCATCTTATGATGTGCAGTGTTGCAGTGATTTTTAGTATTTTTACTACAAGATCGAACAGATCTTGTTGTGTGGATTGTTGGTAATCTCAAATTTTACTGTGTCAAAAGTCGCAGTGTATACTAGACGTTTCGTTATTATGGTTTTCATGGTAAGTTACCATTGGTAGGGAGCGTTTTGGTTACTTTGTCGCTCGGCGAGCGACAAAGTAAAGGAATGCTTGCTCCTCGGAAAAGTGCAAATTGTTTGCTTGGTTGTGAAAAAAATCATTTGGGCACGCATGCCATTGATTCTCCATCCCTGTTATGGACCCTATAGACAATATATTGTCTATACTATGCATTTTATTTCTTTTTGCAGAGAAATGAATTGAAAGAAAAATAGTGGTTTAAAGTGTCTAAAGATTCTATTTTTTTAAATTTTATTTTTTTTTGTATTTTTTTTAAGAACCTTTACAGACAGTTTTGTTTTATTTTAGAATACATATTTTGGTTTTTTTTATGTCATTTTTATTTAATATTGTATTTTAGTTAATAGTTTATACATATATATGTATATCTGTACCTCAGAATAAAAAGTTATTAAGTCATACTATTGAAATTGTTCAAATTGTAACCGGAAAAAAATAAGTAATTATTTTAATATGCACCGAAAAAATATTAGTTTATTGCTGGAAAGTAAAATGGTATGGTTGATATTGATACTTTTAGATATAAAATTTTTAATAGAGTTAAAACTAACCATAACAATGGACAACACGTTTTATTCTGAAGTACAGATGTAAATACACTATTATGTATGTAGTAGTATGTACTATATAACTATAGTTTGTATATTCTATTTTTATTTTGTTGTATTTTTTGAAATTTTATTTATTTTTGTATTTATTTAGCTACATACATATGTACCTACTTACATTTTTTAAATACATACTAAAGCATAAAGCGTTTTTTATTTATCAAAAACATCGTCCCCATTATCACATTAGGGTGTATCTGATATTTTACAATTTTCAGGAGAGCATTTTAAAAATTATACAAAAAAGTCTCCACATTTAATTTACATAATGATGTATAAAGGATGCATTGGATTTTTTTTGTATAATTTAAAATGCTTGCCTGAAAAATTGTAAAATATGAGATACACTCTTATGTGATAATGGGGACGATATCAGTCACTACTGCTGTAAAAGTTTTCGTGACAGATTCATCAATAATTCGTTACGCATTCGACAATAATTCGTTACGTATTCGACAATAACTCGTGACATATTCGTCATATCTTATTTGTTGCATGTTCGTCAATAATTTGTGACAAATTCGTTTAAGAATAGTAAATCGCAGTCGTTACAATTTCGATACTTCAAATTAGCGCGGTTTGGTCACTACTACGGTCACAGTTGCTGTTAAGATTTGAAGTCACGTAATTGTTTAAATAAATGAAAATAGCGACATATTCAGTCACGTTTTCGTTACTCAATGTTACCTGGGATAAGAACCATAAACTGTTTCCCATTTCGTTTCCTTTGTGATTTTCCCGAGGATCCGGCCAAATTGTTTACTTGAAATTTGATACAGGCGGCCAGTTAATTAATTTTTATTTATTTTGACTAGGGAATAAAATTCATATTGGTCTATACTCCTTCATAAGCATTTTTAAGAGAGCGAGAAGTATGAGGCGCCGTGTGTGTAAAAATTAAAAGTGGAAAATAAACTTCTTTTGCTTTATAAATAATTAATGAAATGCATTTTTTCCCAAATTATTTTTTATCAAACTATTTCTATACAACATTATTTTTTTATGAAATTATTTTTTTATGAAATTATTATACAGGGTGTTCCAAAGAAAACTTGTATTTATGCCTAAATGACAGCCGTCAAAATGACAGGTGCCTAATTGACACCTATTAAAATGACGTGATAAAATGACGCTCAAAATGACAGATCCCATATATGTGTCATATGACACGTGCTAAAATAACGGCTGTCAAAATAACAGGTGCTAAAAACAGCTTTGATAAGAAAATAATTTCATAAAAAAAATAGTTGATAAAAAAATAATTAGATAAAAAAATAAGTCGATAAAAAAATAATTTGATAAAAAAATAATTTGGTAAATAATGCATATAATTAATTATTTATAAAGCAAATTAAGTTTATTTTGCACTTCTAATTTTGACACAAACGGCGCCTCATAGAGAAGCTTTAAAATAATTATTATTTTTACCGAGAATTTATTTTCTCGGTTTCGATATCGTCATTCTGTGGCTTGGTCGAAAAAGGGCCTATTAAACAAAATTAAGTTTTGATGTAATCAAGTACCTATTTAAGTGGAAAATTAAAATGCTTATTATAATAAATAATTATTTAAATGTTTCTTTTTCGAATTTGATAAAATTTTGTTTGGATCTACCAAATGGCATAATTATTCACAGGAGTGTTAGAGATGTAGTTAGGTACTTTAATTAAACACAGTAATTTACTAATTATTATTCACCAGGAACCTGCAGGTGCAGGTATAACCCTACAAACAATGACGACATCGTCTTTTATATCGTTATTTTTTTTTAACTATTTCACACTAAATTCACATCGCTGCATCTTTTTTGGTCGTAATTGTGCATTGCATTAATACATAATTATGATTTTTAATTATATTTAATCAAAACATAGCTAAAAAGAACTTCCCTAAGTTTACAACTCGTAGGACGACAGTCTTGTCGATAGAGAAACCTATATCGTTGACGAGATAAGTCCCGATATCGACAAAACAGTCGTCAAAACGACAAACATAACGATATCGTCTTTGACATCGTTTTTCGTAGGTACCGATATTTTTTTAAAAATATTTTACACTAAATTCAAGTCGCAGCATGTTCCTTGGTCCTAATTTTGCAGTGCATTATGATTTTTATTTATATTTTTATATTTAATAAAAACAAAGCTCTAAAATAGCTTCCCAAATTTGACGACTCGTCTAACGACCCTCTTGTCGATATATAAACTATATCGACAAAAGGGTCGTCATGACGACAAACAATGACGATATGGTCTTTGACATCGTACGATATCGTCTTGCGTATCGATATTTTGTTTTAACTATATATATATAGGTTGGTAGGTATATAGTTTTACCATTGATTTAATCAATTTGATTAAGGTAGGTACCCAACCCTATTCCTTTACTCAACGGTTTTACACTAAATTTATGTCGCTTATAGTGCAACGCTGTCATTGCATTGCAAATAAATACTGATATTAAATATAGAAAATAGTAAGAAGACAAAATCATAGAAAAAAGTATTATTTTATTATAGCTGGTGTTGTAGGAAATAAGTTTAAATATACCGCCGACGTGATGTCGGTAATGTAGGTATCATTAACAGATAGAAATTAATAACATGGCGAAGCTGAGTTCTTGTGGCTTGGGCTGGTCTATTTGTGTCTGTTTAGTGCTGTGTTTATCTAATCTATGGATGTGGAGCTGTATTTAATACTTCTAAATTAAAACGTAAGTAGACAGATTGTTTTATTATAGTTCGTATTTGTTCGTATTGTATACCTAAATGATGGACAGGAATTCAACCTAAATGAAGGAGAAGAAACCAACCTAAATGAAGAACAGGAAACCAACATAAATGAAGGACAGGAAACCAACCTAAATGAAGGACAGGAAACCAACCTAAGTGAAGGACTCTTTAATTTTAAATGATAATGATAGTGGCAATTGCAGAACTTTTTACATAATTTAAATATTAATATTTGAAAAATGTTCAAACTTCTATACAATTTAAATTGAATCACTGATTTTAGAAACACCTAAACTCAATTTACTCGAGATATTCTTCAAAAAAATAATTATTTTTATATAGACTTTAAAATCATTCATTTCTTTACTAGGGTGCTAATTTCACAAATAAATGATTGGTAAGTTTATATAAAAATAATTAAGCAATTTAATTAGTTTTCTTCATTTGTGACTTAGGGTCTTTCTGAAATTAGTGGTGAAATTGTTCACTTGCATAATGCAAGTTGCATTGGTTTCACTTCACTTTAATCTTTCTATAGAGTTCGGCGTTACTTTATTATGGCATAATAAGTTTTATCAGAGTTATTTATTTTTATTATTAAGGGGGTGATACACACTAAAGTAAGCAAGTTTTTTCTCTATCACTGTTGCAATAAGCTACTGTTTTTGAATAAAAAAAGTATAAAAATTGTTGTAATTTTTCTTATGCCACTGCTGTTTTTTGTTTAACGACCTATAAAAAACATATGTTTTTGCAAAAATCCATAAAGTATAGATGGCCAGTTATTTAGCAGTAATTAA